ACCCTAACTATTCTATGATTCTATGAAACCATTTAGGCCAGGACTAACAGTCCAGATTAGTAACTACATGTGGGACACACACTCTTCCAAGGTTTATCATCGTTGCATATCTTCATGTTACTCAATACAACCAACTTTTACTGAGTTTAAAAGGAAAATTTAAGTCATCAAATGGAAACCTCAGGTTTCCTGTGAAACGTACACAGTGCCAATACAGTCCTTCTTCAATACTCAGAAGAAAACTGTTTTTTTATTTGACTGAGACAAACGGTAACTAAACTAAATCCAAGCCTAAGCACATTTTTTTTCCAGTAAGCACACAAATCTAAGCAAGCACTGCAGGAGGTGCTTTGCAGGCATCTGTATGCCATAAGTGACTAAAATGATAACAAAAAAAATGAATGGGATCTTAAAAAAGAGGAGGTTCTCAAGGAAGGTACCTGCAGGCTATTTGACAAAGATTTGCTTGAAAAGCAGTCCTGTTGTAATGTGTCAGTTTTAAGGCCTGGGAAAAGGTTTATCTTTGCTTACAGACAAACAAGCCCTAATGAGATATGTTAAAAAAGCTGACAGAGTAGGAATATTCTGTTAAATGAAAGCCCTAAGCAAAATGCAGAAGGAACTGATGAACAGGGTATGAGAGATCTGCTTTCTGTGCTCCAAAATTTTACATCTCTATGCAAATGCTAAACTGTAGTGTGGAACAGAACTATCTCCAAAACATGAAATGATTTCGAGGTTGTTGATAGAATGTAAGTAACACTCAAACATCAAAACACCTTTTCTTTCCTGCAGATCTGCATTATCAGCTGGTATTGAATTACTTGCTCTAAAACTTCGCAGAAGTGAAACATGTTTTCATATCTACATACAGTGCTCACCTTTAATAAAATAGGTGTGACAGCCAAAACAAACATTTACAAAAAAAAAAACCCACCAAACTTTTACAACACCTAAAAATGTTTCTATTCCCTTAGCCTCCAGTACCCAGCTCTTTTATCATGCTGTGTTTGGCACAGGACATCTGGGCTCTAGAATGCATATTGCCATTGATATGTGACGTAATCTTAGACCACATTCTTTTGGCGTCTTGTCTATGTTTTGTTGTTCTTGAAACAAATGAAATCTTGTTGCTAGTCACATTTCATTATCTATCCTGGCATAGTACTCACACCACAATAACCTAAGCCTGCAATTTATACTGTTTGATCAGAAGACAACTTAAAAAAATCCCCCATCACATACCTGTATACTTTCCTCAGTAGCAAGAACTTCTGCAACTGGTACTGACTGAATAAACTGCATGAAGCCTGTGACAGAAAGCAACCAAGAAAATAAACTTTCCAGTCCACAGAACTTTCAGGCTACTCTGTAACATGTTTATTAAAGCATAACACTAATACACACTTTCATTCAACTGCTTCTTATTGGCAAGAATACATGTTTTGTCTCATGTCAATTTCTGCCTTCAGTAATTCTTAAAACAACTTCTGGTTTTTTTAGTGTTTTGGGTTTTTTTAAACACCAAATTAGCTTGCAAAAGGTCTGTTGTTCCAAGTTTTTGAGACAAGAAAGTAAATCAATGGCTTTCTAAATATGCATCCAGAATGTATCTAAAAGCACAGCCATGTTTGATTTTGTCTTGGTTTTCTCCTCTATTTCATGCAAAGATCTATAAATAGGAGTGTTAAAAGTGATCTGTCCCAGATCACACAGCAAGCTAGTAGCAAAGTTAAGACTACTGATTGTCACATACTCCAAAATCCAGACCAGGCTTCTTTTATGAATATATCTGAGTCACCTACGTAATACTGCGATCAGTCAGGTTGTTGTGTACTTTCATGACTTACATTGCAACAAGATTTTCTTACACATTTGACCTCCTTTTTAGAATGCTGTACTAAGCAAAATATCTCTTGTGAAAACAGTGTGCCACAATACAGTCTATGAACAGAGGGTAAGATTCCTCCCAATACAAGAAATAGGAAATAAAAGTATCCATACCATGTTTCGTACTAGTTGCCAGCACTTTATACGGTGTCAGCTTCAAATCCAGATTCTCTTTTCTTAACAGCTGGAAAAAAAAAGCCCCAAGACACAAAAGCAAATGATGAATGCAATAGAAAGGCAACTTCTATTTCTAAAAGAATGTAATGGACATTGATCTCTGTTCTTCACTGAAATTAGTAAAAAGTGTGCTTAACTTGTTTGGGGTTTTTATTTGGTTTTGGTTTTTAACTACACAGGATCATTGCATCTATAAAGAAACTAAAAAGCCACCCAAGATTTAAGAATTCTGGAATGTATTAGCAACATAAGCTGCATTAGCAGTTTTTAACAGTCTTGCTCTTGACAAGTAAAATCAAGAACAAAGAAGCACAAGGATATGTATTAATAATTCTCACCTTATCCATGAGTGAAATAATTTGAAGAATAAGTTGATCTTGACGTAAATCATCACCATGCTTAAAAATTACAGGATATTTGCCTCCATCTTCTGTCTTGAAGAACAACTGAGCGGGCATTAAGGCACTCTGGAAAAGGAAACTTGTGCTACTAAGCTGGGTCACAGCAACGTTCCTATTAACACATTGCTACAGTGGAGTTCTGAAATATAAATCTTTGTTTACTGCATTATAGATCAGAAGTGAACCAAGCAAGTACCAAACTCAGTTACAAAAAGGTTTATAATAGTCTAATTTGATCAGCAACAGTGTAGTAGCGAGCAACAGAAACTTTTCCACATTCTTCTTGTTTGGTAGAAAAGAAGCAGCTCTAAAGCTTCTAGAATCAGTTACTCACTGTCTAGGAAGCAACAATTAGAACTAACCATTTCCAGTTGGAATAAGTGGGATCTAGGCATGTTTTTTTAAAAACACCTTAAGGGTTTCCTTCTTTTTTAGCAAGGAGTAAAGGATACATCCCCTTTAATTCCTTGATGTGAAGGACACATCCCCCCCTGTGCAGCCTCCCTCGTGGCAGAAATGGACACAAGTATTCAAGTTTTGTTTGTACGCATGTAATTCCAATCAGCATAGAACACTACGCAAAAGGTCACAACAAAACAAATTTAAACTGACCAGATCAAGAAAAGACACAATTATAGGATAAACTAAAGCAACAAAATGCTAGAAGCAAGACATATTAAACAATTAATTGCTTCCTTAATCTATTTAGTAAAAGCAAAAATGCCTTTTTATACCGTTGTTTGAGAAAGCCAATTTAATTGTTTGCAATTTCTCTGCATAAAATGGGTTCAAGGCGATCAATTACCTACATGAATGATTTCATCTATTCAAACTGACCAAGTCACTTCCCACAAAACCAAAGCAAAAAAAAAATCAAGGATACAATGCTCAGTATTTGAGCAGCTACATTAGATTTTTACAGAAAACAAACGTTTCAAAATTAAGTTGCATAAAAAAGGAAAAATGATACTTTAAATAATCCTACAAAAGCTGCCACATGATGTCCAAGAGCACCAAAATTAGTCATTCTTTCCTATTTGGGTTTGTTCGGTTTTTATCTCACAGTACAGAATGAGAGATTAAATGGAAATCTGTAACCTTTCAGAATCAGCAGAACTGAAGCCATCTCTGATTCTGAAACAAGCTACATCTCATATTTTTGGTCCTAAATCGTCTACACAGTAACAGAAGACATGTTCAAGGCCAGGTTGGACACGATTTTGGTATTCCTGTTTCTGTTCCCATATAAACCTCTGAGCTAGGTAGCAGGCCTTGCGTTGAGGGACTTCATAAATGGTATCAGTCCTATAAAAGATCCTTCAAAGTTTGTACATTAACTTGAAAAAAAGAGTTTCATAGAGAAAATAAAATGTTGTTTAACCACTTCAAGAGCGCATTACATTTTTCTCTTACTACGTGAACCCCTTTAAATCTTTCAACTGATGTTTCTAAGCTTAGTACTCTTAAGATTTGTTTTATTTCAGATATTCAGAAGTTCTCATTTACCTTGAAGAGTGTGGCTTTTTCAGGGATTATTCCTTTAATTTTCACTTGAGGTTCCAGAGGGAGTGGAATAAGTTCCATATCTGCTAAATTCATCTTTTCATTATCTGCTAACAATGCCTGAAGCCTCTCATTCTAAGAGAATAAAAGAATGAAAACTTGGTGTTTTTTAACAAACAAACAAAACCACCTACCAAGTATATATGAACAGTTTAAAAACCTTTTAACAAAGGATGTATTATTATCATTCAATTTATTCAATTATCTACTCTTCTGAAGAATCGAAGTTTCACTCTTAAAATTCATTGAAACAAAAATTCTCTATGTGCAGTAATCTGAATAAGGAAGCAGATACTCCAGCTACTCTGAGTGCAGTTAAGCAATTTTGCAAGTGCCAGATATAATAGTCTTACAAAAACCTATTTCTACAACTGCCTGTATAAGTAGCAGGGTGATTTGATTTCCATACCAGTATCAAATACGAGTTCTTTTTCAGAAACTCGATTCATGTCTTTAGTTCTGATCCTTTAAATCCCTGAACTCAAGGAGATACCCTACCATCAACAAACCAAACAGCTAACAGCTTGCATAGATCTGATTTCAGGGCTTGCTCTATATTCCTGTATCTATAGTTATCAGAAACACAACAGTTTTCAAGTTTACTTCATGACTGGTGTCCTACACAATAACAGTCAAATTCATGTAAGTATCTAGTCCTTTCCCCTACTGAATATACAGACAGAACCACACAGCAAGGTAGTCCACTACTGTTAGGAATAGTTCTAGTGGTTAATTGCTGCTAGCCAGATCTTACTTAAAAAAACAGAACAAAACAAAAACACCACACAAAACCAACCAACCAAACAAAAAACCCCAAACAAACAGAAAACCCCACTATCTCTTAGTTTTATAGAAATATCCTGGCAATTATAAAAGAATGTATGACAGAACACTACCAATGTATTGCACAAGCAGGAAATATTCTTACAAATTGAAAACCCTCCTCCTCTTTTAGTGACTAGACCTTTATTACTGATACATACAGCATTCACAAAATTTCATAAAAATGATGCAATGCTTAAGTATTTCATTTTCCTCCACAAATTTAAAGAAAGAATTGACAAAATTCATTACACTGAAAAAAAACATGTTTAAAAATACAGATGTGTGCCAGAAGAAAATATATTAACAGAAATTCCCCTGGTGTTCCTGCTTCTTCCTTATATCCATCTGTCAAATTCACTTAAAACGCACCTAGGATAGAAATCCTTCTCATCAAGATGCAACAGCAGGCAAAGTTCTGCTAATCATAACCCTAATAGAAAAAGTAGTTTTGTTGCTCTTGGAACAAATGAAATCTTGCTGCTAGTCAAATTTCATTACTTGTCCTGGCATAATACTCACACCGCATTAACCTCTGCTACTTTCCCATGTCTCCTACAACTTGTTCAGTGTTACATCATTAACAATTCAATTTTTTGTCATATCTTCCTTTGGCCAACCTATCCAAGATTTTTCTCAAGGGCCTCTTCTGTTTCACATCTACAAACTTTCAGAACACTCTGGAACTTTGACCTATCTAAACCTCTCCACAGCTTGTTTAAAGTTAGCTGAAATTATTACAGGACAGATAGACATTTGTTATAAATCTCAGTGCTAGGAATTTTTATTGAAAAGCTAACATTCCTATTGTCAAATTCTAGACAGAGATAAGTTTTCCACTCCTTTAGTTACCTTCTTCTTACGATTCCCACTTTCACGCTGTACTGCTTTCATTACATGAACTAGCCGATCCACGAATGTCTGCTGAGCTGCCAACAGCGAACGCATAACTCTGACAGACTTATCACCCTAAGTGAATTAAAAGAAACAAAATTAGTTCTTCGTTCTGTCATTATTTTATCTAAAAATTATTCCTTTATCCTTAGACCTTCAGGCTTTTAAGAGGTAAGTGAATAATGATCAATTTCCTGTCAATTTAAAAGGAATTTTCTGTAAAGCACTATCAGAATCACTGTAGCTGGCAATCAGTTATCTGACCTACAACGACACTTCAATTTGCATCAACAATTTCAGTGTGAACAGTCATGCATTACAAACCTTATTCACTTTGCCAAAGTTGGGAAGGATAAGCACATGGAATATTCTTATGCGATATAAGACTCAGATTTGAGTAATGTTCCTAAAATCAGAATTCACGTGAAGTGTGAGACACAGGAAAATCAGGAAAGCCTGCAGCTCTACTATAAATTATAGCTTGCAATTCACAAGTTTCTTGGTTTTACTTTTTTTTTCCCTGCTGTTCCAGCACCCTCTGCTGCCGATACACAGAACAACACTGTGAATTATAAAAGGGGGTCTCAATTTGAATCAATTTTCATTGCAAGGACAAGTGCTTCCAACAAAGAAATAGTAAATAAAATAGACTAATTACACAATGCAGAGGATTTACTAACAGAAGCAGGCAATAAAACAGAGGAGAGAGTTCTCAATATGTGTTAAGTTTCTTTTTCAGTAGTTTAATTTACAAAAAAAACCACGAACTCAAAATTCAAGCAGAAGTGGGAGCTGTTTTAAAATTTCAATACCTATGACTTCAAATCTTGTCATGCTCCTAGACACCTATGCCTTTTTAAAGAATGATTATCCCAAACCACTAGTATTTCTTTACACATAGGCATTACCTTCAGCAAAGCTTGACTAAATCTTCTCATCACATTTAAGTACATTTCATGAGTCTTTGGGTCCCTCTGCTGAGTGTCTTGGTCTTCACACTCCACTATTACATACCTGAAGCATAGAAACAACCCAAGTTATGCTGTATTCTGGTGCAACTTGAGTAAAATACAGTAGTCCTGTCTTAAAGGCCTGAAACTAAACATAAAGTTGATCTTTGAATGACATCTCGACCAGCAGATGAACTCACTAATTGCATAGTCACAAACTCCCACCCGGATCAGGAGAACTTATCAAGGTTTTTGAGGTCTTCCACTTACAGTAAGGCAGCATCACTCAAACAAAACATTCACAAGTCCAAATCATGTGAACACTCCAACCAAGAAGTCGGTTGAATAGGCACTGCACTGTGCTACTACCCTCTACAGAATGTGGCTACAAACCCAAGAAGAATCTCCCTCTACCTGTTCCTTATTTTACCACTAGCAATGGTGGAAGAGACAGTATTGGTCCTGAAGCAGCTCTGAACATCTACACCCCAAAATAAGATTTCTAAAATGATTCAGGTAAAAGACTTAGATGGTACAATTTGGGACAGTTATACTGAAAATTTATTTTAACATGTTAAGCAGTTTTTTGGAATCCTTTTGTGCTTATTTCTACTTGCAGCACTGACAAGCAAAAAGTAGCTATTATGGAAGGACTTTCTGTTAAGTCCATCTCCTAGTACTACCCAGTAAAAACATACAACCTCATTATTAAACAGGAAGAAATTAGCAAGTCAGTCAATTTTCCAACACTGCATTTGGATTCAGAAGTGATTCTACATATTCAAACACACTTGGACTTTACGCTGACAGCCAGAATTACCCCTTCCTTATGTACCTGTGCAGAATCTCTTTGCAACTGAATGATTATGGGACAAGATTAGAGGTTTGCCATTCACTGCTAATCAGATTTGACTTGTGTTACTTACAAACGCACAGTATCTTAAATAAACTAAAACAAGGGATATGTAATTCCATTAGTATTATCTCAACAAAATCTATAACTAAAGATTACTTCTAGAACTTCACTAACGTACTGGGGTACAACATTCCCCCACTAGAATTAGAAAATTAGATTGCAGTAATGTGCATAAAAAGAAGCCCATATTTACAAAGTCTGTGCACCAAAATGTAATTATTATTTCTTGTTTCCCCTGAAACATGCCACTTTCATCTGCACTTGTTAAAAAGCTCTAGGTAGTTTCTCAAAGCTATCTTGAAACAAGGAGTAAGAGTAATGCTTCATACGTGGGACAGGTGTCTCACGTCTGAAGAGGAGACAGGAAAAAACAGTAGCACTGACTTCTATAGCCACTGTTAAAGTGCAAGGATAGGACAGCTTTACAATCACAAGTGACTGAGCAGGAATTTTGATTTTCAAGGGTTATTGTACTTTTTCCACTAATTATTTTAGGTGCACGACATGTCTGGATAAGCTGAAACAAGCAATTGATCAGCAGCCAAGAGGATTTATGGCTACGACAGCTCAAACAGTGGCTGCGACATTTGTATTTTGTCACTGAGAAATTGAGATGTCTGGAAAGAAAACAAAGAATAAATTGACTGGGGTTTTTGATATGCCGTGAGGTTGTGCGTGTGTTTGTTTTGGGTTGGGTTTTTTTTGGTGGATTTTGTTTGCTTGTTTTTTTAAGTCATAAGACAAACTACAGAGTTCCGGATGTCTGAACTTTCTGTAGGCTGAATGTCTGAGACATAGCTGAAATGTAAGTGCACAGTTTCTGTCAATGAGGTAGAGAAAAGCTAACACTTATCTTAATGACGAATATTTGATTAGATCAAGCATTTGGCTTCTACCCACATAAACTGATCCTGCAATTATTTTAACCATTCCAACTTATTAGGACTTTTTTCTGAAGCCAAATATTATCTTTGGTTACTGCAGTAGAAGCTTGTACACTCAAGAACTGTAGTATAGTCATGCACTTAAGTATCTTAAATGCAAGCTACTAAAAAGTAATAGAATAATAAAACTCAAGACATTCAGAAATGGAATCACTCTCAGGATAGGTTAGGATTCTTCTAGGAATTTCATAAAAATAGTTTGGTAGGTCTACATCACGTATCACACTCCAATCCCAATTCACACCTTATTTGTGGTCAATACTCATAGCACACTAACATATGGTCATGTGTATTAGTATTTTTAATTATTAGATGTATCTACAAAGGAGAATCATTAGACTTTGGTGCCTTTTACATGGCTAAATTTAAGCTCTCTACAACAAAATACATGTGTATATACAAGTAAATAGCTGTATGTGTTGTGCATATACGTATGTATCTGTACATTAATACATACACAAAAACACACTTTCAGAGTATACCTCTCCTTATCTCAGCTTTCTTCAAATGAGAATTCCTATCTGCAAATGCTTACTCAGGGAGCACACAGATGACTAGTTTAGGCACCTACTTTAACTCTTAAACCACTGAAGCGAGTCAAGATCCTTAGCTAAGTAATCTTACCTGTCCACTATCTAGATGAACTACTCGCATCTAAAGTTCCCCCTTAAGAAAGCACACATCTGCAATGACATATTGCTTGTGCTCATAATATAACCACAAATGGAATCTAAAAAAATAATTAGCAGAAAAAAATAATTAGTGCTTTATGAATCTTCATAAAATATACTCTTGACTGTGTATACTCTAAAGCGCATAACTTCAGTATTCTACCCAACACTGTCAAAAACTATAATCACAAATCAAACAGAAAAGCAGAGCAGATGATGAACTTTATTTCCTCCCCACCATCATAAACAACTTGAATGAAAACTTACAAACTACAATTAGGGTTTTTTTTTTTCTTTTGTAACACTGTACTTAATGCACTACAAATCACCTTTCTTTGTCTAAGAGTAAAGCATATACATGCATTTCAAAAACCAGCACCCTCCTTTCACTAATTGTTCTGTTCAAATGCATATTGCTTTAAATCTACTACTTCAACCTGAGAGAAACTGAGATTCTCAAGTTCTCGAGACAGGTCATCTTTTGCTGTGCATCGCAGCTTTGATTTCAATTAGATATTTATACAGTATGGCTACTTTCTAACATACCAGTACAAGTAGTTTGCCAACGTGGAATTTTTGCATGCCCGTGATATCAAGAAAGTGCAAAGGTCTTGCTGGAAGAGATTTAAGAGAAGCAAAATTAAGTTACAAAGAAATCTAAGTACTTCAGAGAGTGACAAAGTTAAGGAAAAACCCAAACTAACCACAGGGAGTTCTGAGAGATACATTCCCTTCTAAAATCTGAATCCAATCCAACATAATATTTAAATTATATTAGTTGTAGTATTACTCCAAATCCAACAACAACACTACAAGTAAAAAAAGGTCTGGTATTACAGTTATGTAGGTACTAACATGTAAAAGGTATATGATGTTCTCCAACAATAAACTTTAAATGTTAAGTTTCTATTTACAACCTATTACACTTTCCTCCTATACAATTATCCCTTGCTGTATGATTCAACCCTGAAATGGATTTACTACCCCATTTTGCATCCAGAAGACCTAAACTCTCTAAGATGTTCTACATTTTAACATAAAGAAAAAGCTCTGTAGAGGATACACAGCATTTAGCTGCTTTTTCAATGTTTAATATCCCAGCTAGCAAGAAAACTGTGTATCTTCACCGATATGCTCAATTTGAGGCTTATTTTCTATGCAGTACTGAGACCCTTCAGTTGCATTCTTATTACTCTTCTACTTGTGGTATAAATTTAGTATAATCCTTGGCAGATGTATAGCAACCCAGTGTCTCACTGAAGTTCAGAAAAGATGACACCCATGCAAAGGACTATGGCTACACAAAGCACAGTTTGCGTAAATTAAAACATTTGGATAACTGTTTTCTATTAAAAAATCTGCTTTAAAACACTTCAAACACATGCAATTGTCAGTGTCTAACCAGCATGTGATAGCCTTTCCAGAAATTTTCTCCTTTAAACGAGAGTACTGAATAAGTTTGTGAAGAATTCAATGCCCAGTCCCCCAGTTTTGGATAGTGTAACCACGTACATAAATAGATGGCTTGTAGTATTTTCTTAGCATTTAGTTTACATGTGTGTTCTCTGAGCACTGTAAGTACTCGGCAGTAGAAAGATCCAAGTATTCACAAATGAAATCTAGTACCAGGTCACTAAATGAGTATCAAAAATACAAGGTAAAGCATTCAACTTACATCGAGGTTTTCACTGTCTGCAAGCTCCTTTGTCTTAGAAGTAAGAGGTGGCGAGGACACAGGTGGAACAGGACTCATTATCTGTGAACTACATAAAGCAAAACATGTAATTGGCATGATTCAAAGTTCTTGCTTGGCATGCATTTCACTTCCACAGCATACTAAATTCAGAAAACTGGAAGAGAAGTATCTTTGAAGGTATTATCTCAACAAAACTGCATGAACAGCAACTTTGACAGCTGCAATTCCTGAAAACACCAAGAAAAAAATCTGTGCCTGGATAGCTACAAAGCTTATGGCTGCAAAGGACATTCACCTTACATCAAACTTTGCATTTTGTTTCATCTTCCATAATAGATAAGCAGACATAGATGGGAATTCAGCAAATTGGCACTTTCAGGATAAGCTTTTCTTAAACGTTCTTCAGATGAAATTGCTAATACACAACACCTGCAAGCACTTGTCTCTGGAATGCAATTACACATAACAGAGTAGACAAACCCAGTGCTTGCAAGGCAAAATTATCAGACAGTAAATTTACCTGAAAGGAAGTAATCAAACAGCTCTACTAATGTCTAAGTGTGATTGCAGCCTCAAGATATACCATACATCCCAGGACACCTACTCTACAGCTTAGCAGCAAGATCAATGAAAAGCAGTATACTTGTAACACAAAAAGTATACCCTAGTGATACAAGTGATTAGACATTGAGGCTTAAGACTACAAATCCTGGAAATCTGTATTAAACATTCATAGGAGACTTTGGTTAATGAACTTTGTTTGCACCTTGTTTGATACTATATTAATTAAGAATTTCAGCCTTTCTTTTGGGTTCCTGCAAGAACAAAGACTGTGCTCTCCAAGCTCCTTTACGGTCACAGGACTCTCCCTACACCTTTGCAGGAGCAGGAAAAAATGTCTTTCTGTATTAGACTGAAGAGAGTTTTAGATTCGTATTCTTTAATGAAAGTACGAAGTAGAGCCTCATACAATTTCATTGAAGACATCTTAGTTTTTTCTAAGGGCAGAAGGAAACAATGATAGTGTTTTTCCTGGTTTCCAGAAGTTGCCTCCTTCACGCAGGAAGGTCAAAGGCCACAACTTCAAGATTGTTTCTCTGTACGTAGCCAGGAAATACATTCTGTCAAAGATCAGCGGTTAATTTTTTATTACGTCACCACTTCAAATTATAAAATAGGATGTTGCATATGCAATGATCCCTAAAAAGGAGAAAGAACTTCAGGGCTTACAATGTAACATGTTTCTGCCTTTCTACTGGAAATCTAAGTTTCTTACCTGTCTATTTCTGCACCATTAGTTCCAGATGTTGTTATGCTTTCTGACATTGAACCTTGACTGTCCCTCTTGCTAGGTTCCAGTCCATTCTTTATGTCATCAAAGTTTTCATATTTCAGTGCCTGGACTAACTGCAGCAGATACATCAGCAAATCCTCATGGAGGAAAAAAAAAAGAGAATTAATCGAGGGGGTCAGTCAAAGTTGACTAGGACTCTGTATGTTTTCAAAACTTATAGAAAAACTTAGCCAGGATTTAGAGATCTATAAAACAATGGGAATTAAGGTCTCCCTAGCAAGCAATATACAACAGGAAAACTGGCATAGGATGGAGTTTGATTCCCAAAAGATATTGAACTACCACGCTACTATTTTTGTGTTACTCAAAGTTAGTAAATGCTATTAAGTAAATACTGAGGTGCAATTATGACTTTAATATTTTCCTTAGTTAATCTGCCCTACTTGCTTCCAGCATCCAAAAATAAACCTTTCTACTTATAACAAATTTGCTCCACTATTCAACTTGCTCTTTAGTTGCCTTCAAATGTTTCATAAAAGGCACATTTTTATAACCAAAGCAGTATGACCTTGGCTATTGAAGTAGGCTTACAAAAACGCAAGGTCCTACACCTGGGTCGGCACAACCGCAGGCACAGCTCCAGGCTGGGCGGAGAAGAGATTCAGAGCAGCCCTGCGGAGAAAGACTTGGGGGTGGTGATTGATGAGAAACTCGACATGAGCAGGCAGTGTGCGCTTGCAGCCCAGAGAGCCAACCGCATCCTGGGCTGTATCAAAAGAAGCATGACCAGCAGGTCAAAGGAGGTGACCCTGCCCCTCTACTCTGCTCTTGTGAGACCTCTCTTGGAGTATTGTGTCCAGTTCTGGTGTCCTCAACATCAAAAGGACATGGAGTTGCTGGAGCAAGTCCAGAGGAGGCCACAAGGATGATAAGAGGACTGGAGCACCTCCCGTATGAAGATAGGCTGAGAAAGTTGGGGCTGTTCAGCCTGGAGAAGAGAAGGCTGCGTGGAGACCTCAGAGCAGCCTTCCAGTATCTGAAGAGGGCCTATGAGGATGCTGGGGAGGGACTCTTCATTAGGGACTCTAGTGGTAGGACAAGTGGTGATGAGTTCAAGCTTAAACAGGGGAACTTTAGATTAGATATAAGGAAGAAGTTCTTCACAGTGAGGGTGGTGAGGCACTGGAATAGGTTGCGCAAGAAGTTGTGAATGCTCCAACCCTGGAGGTGTTCAAGGCCAGGCTGGACAGAGCCTTGGGCGACATAGTTTAGTGTGTGGTGTCCCTGCTCATGGCAGGGGGATTGGAACTAGATGATCCTAAGGGCCTTTCCAACCCAAACCAGTCTATGATTCTATGATTATGCTCCCTATTTTAAACTCTATTTATTGCCAAGAACTCAATAGTCACAGCAATACATTCAGAGTATTTTTTTCCTACTGTCAAAAGAAAATAAACTATATAGGTAATTAAAATTCAACAGATTAGCATCTATTAAGTGGGTTCCACTTCCAAATCACAGCTCATCATATTCTAATCAGTATACAATTAGAAACACCTTATTTCTACAGATGCTTTTCCACTCATTTCCTTTAGCTAAAAGAGCATGATGATATACTGCTTCAATTCACCAGGTGGATTTGTTGGAAATCTTTTAGTAGACTATGTAAGTTCAAAGCACTTCTATGCAGGTTAATATTCAAAATTTATCACTCATTTCTGGGAAGAACATACGGTTGTTTCACCTTGTCTGACAAAGCCAGCTATCAATGGCTGTTCACACTAAGACAATTATCAATGAGTGCCACTTAATAATGTGAAGACTTTTCTCCATAAAAAGCTTCTAGTAAATAGCATCGTAGTGATTTTTTTTTCTTTTCTTTTAGCTTTCCATCACTATCATTCACTTAAATGCCTTAAAAAGTAGCAAATATTTCAAGTACTCAATGAGACCAAAAATCCTGAAATCAGCTGACTTTCACATGTACCAACAGACCAATGAGATACCTCATCATCAGCCTGCTGAAGCCTGGCAACAGCATAGCGCCGGACTGTTGGGTTGGAGAAGTGAGATGACAGAAGCTCTAGAGAGTCTTCCACATCCATGGGCTTCCATTTGCCCAGCAGCTCCAGTGCTTGCTTTGCTTCTTGTGGTAGGTCCCAGTTGACACATTTCAAGAACTTTGTCAAAGCCTAAATAGGAAAAGATTGGAGAATTCATCAGTGAAAAAGCCAGGCTAAACAGCCAATTTCAGAAATTAATGTTTCACATTAAGAACTAGATTCAGTCTATTCTTACGTAAAAGCACAGGCCTGGGGAACCTTACTGATGTAAGTGACAATACAATATTGGATCTTTTTAATATGCCCAAAAAAACTGCAGCTGAGCTATCTTCTAAGTAAAATGTAAAGTCAATGGTTACTACCCTACCACAACTACCACTACATCAGAAGTGCCCACTGCTGGAAGATTATTAGTTACCTAATTTATTTTGGTCTTTTGGTGTGCTGCTACTTATTCTGATCATGCTAACCCTTGCCTAAAAGGGATGAAGAAGCTCCTCTAAGTTTTTTTCTTTGCTGAAGACAAAATTGGCAACGCTGGTATTTTAAGCTGACGGTGTTTGCAGAAAGACTGCTGTAGTAATAGCCAGTTTACATGATTTAAGAGGGAAAATTACAGTCACTGATTTTTAAATTGGTAATTTTGTAGAAGAAGTTAAAATAATCTTGATCAGCTTCTAAGACACTGAAGCTCTGTATCTCTGCAAGGATGGGTCATTGCAGAATGAGTACCAGATGAAGCCCCTCTTGCATAATAAATCCTCTTAAATCATTCAACTTACCTTTTCCTGGTTAGTAAGGTAATATCTGAATTTCCAAACTAGATCCTGTTCCTCGTACGTTAGCTGCTTTGTTGGTGGATAGCTCACTATGATCTATTAGGTACATAGTCAGAAAGTGAGTTTAAAAACATGAACAGATATACTTAACAAGTTAAAAGACTACACAGTGACAAAGCACAACACTGAAACACAAAAATAACGGGGGAAGAAAAAAAGCTTTCCAACAACACAATGTTTGCATGCTATCATGGTGATGCTCCTCAGTTATGTGGCTGATTGAACTGGCAGTGGAGGCAAACACACAGTTACTTTAAGACCATCAACACTGACATGATATGTGCACAATATGCATTCTGATCTTCCTTAAACTGTTTTACAAACTAACAAGTACTCTCTGCTCCTTTCTGAGCTGGGTTCATCTACTTACTTATAAGAAACACTTAACATTTCTTTATTAATAACTTTCTATCAACTGTATTTTCCTTAAATTGTCACCATAAATTAATACCAACCTACCTAATGGAACTGAATTTAGCCATCATATGACTGACTTACATTAAGCTGATCTCGCGTAGCTGCATTAGGCTTCAGATCATGATCAGAAGGTCCACTTCTTAAACTTCGAGCAAGCTTGTGATGTTTGCTTTCTACTAAGTTCTCCTAAATGCAGAAGGTAAGTCAGTATTTATAACTACTTAAACTCCAGTGGAAAATTAGTACTGAAATAAAAACATCTAGCAAAAACTCACCAGTATATTGAATAATGCATAGCAATTAAAATTCACATCTAAAACTACAGAATCTTCTGGCATTTTTGTTTTGTTGTTGTTTTAGAAGAAACTCCTTCAATAACATGTGGAGGGTTGTTGGGGATTTTGAGGTTTTTGTTTTGTTTGGGGTTGATTTTGGATTTTTTACTTCATACAACTTACAAACCCTACCCTGTCTTTTGGCAAATTGCTGCAAAACGTAAGCGTTTCAGTCAACACATCTGTGATTTCAACAGCACTCAAACGTGCTAGCCACTTACATTTTTTTAGGATGATGTTTGCATTACAAAGCTTTGTATGCAAGAAAAATGCCTCAAAAAGTTTTCCCACTGTTAATATCATGTTAGCAACAGTAGGAGCCACAATAGGAGCCACAGTGCCAACAAGACTTCAGCAGCCAAGGCAGTTTTCAGCATTGTCAGACTTGCTCTTGCAGTGTTAGATTACACAGTGCTCAAACAGTGTTGCCAGTAGAAGCCCACTTACATTAAGGTTCCCAAAGCTGCCAATACCAGTCCCACTGAATTGGCATCCACAATAATGGAAATCTTTTCTAGAACTGTACTTAGGCACTGTCTACACGAAAGACAACATACAAGAGAGTGTAGGGAGAAAATATTTTAACAGACAAAGTGACCAACACTTACTGCACCATCCTCTAAGTTTCTCTTCTTCAGCTCCCTATATTCCCACCCTCTGACCTCTTTTGCCAACAATCCCCCTTCTCTGCTTTCCTCAGAAGTAAGCACACTAGGTATGGGAAGGAGGAGAGGAACATAAGCATTTAATCAATTCTTGTATTCTAATCTAGCAGTAGCAGAAACAAAAAAACAACAAACAAATAGCAAAAGTCAAACCCACTGATATTTCTGAATTGGTCAAATACATCTTTCCACTGGAGTTTTAAAACAGTGAAGACAGCAATACAGGCAAGTTTCTGAAACCAGTGAAAATACTACAATACAGATTGCATTACACGGAGCATGCTTACCATTGACATCTGGGGATCTGGAATCTTAACAATTTCAGAACTTGTTAAAATTGGAGACGTCTCATCACCGTCCTGAATGACAAACAGTTAAAGGCACATTAAACATCTCAAGTTCTAGGAAAAAACCCTGAACTTGACATATTACTGCATTGTGAGGTACATGACAGTGAAAGAATGGTGCTACTGCACCTTGCTGACTTTTGACAGTTATAGAAGGGAGAACAGAAAATAAGAAATTGATTCTTTTTCTTGTTAGTTTTTGCCAGATGATAAATAATGTGGCAAGAGAGATCAAAGTTCATCTGAGGAGACACAGCTTGGCAACTTGCCACCATGCCGACACATAGGTGAGTGGAGAAATCATCATGCAATTATCATGCAAATGTGTGTCTCTCCAACAGGGGTTCCACATAGAGCATGATAGTCTCTTCTAGAAGGTCAAGCTCTGCTGCTCTGCAGCACTACGACAGAAGCCCACGAGTTCTCCTTAGGAGAGTCTAACCTGCTACTGCATAGAGAAAAGGAGAAGCTGTATGTTTCCTGTTTGAACCAGGCAGAAGGAAAAAATACAAAGCCTGACACATGACAAAAGAGCAACTCTGTTTCCATCTTCCAGTCACACGCAGCAGTTTGGTTTTGTTGCTTTTTTTTTACCTTAGAAGCGTAATTCAGCATTAATTGACACCATCTACGGAAGAACATTTCATTTAAAAACAGTATAAAAACAGCAGAACAGAAAAACAACAAGACAACATCAGCATAATTATGTGCTATGCTGTATTTATACTTAGTCTGTTCTCATTTATTTTGGAGCAAATTTCACTTCAGAATAAAGTTTTTGTGACATACCAGTATTTCCTTCAAATATATAAGTTTGAGATATTTTACTCAGGTTTGCTTCTGCCCTCATACTCCTTTTTTTTTTTCCCTACTGCTTTTCCAATCACATATGCCTTTTGGGATGGCTTTGCTTTTATACTTTTCAGAAGTAACTTTCAAAGAAATGAGTGGCTTGTATTAAGGGAAAGAAAAGAATCATTCATCACCAGCGGGACACAGGAGTTAAAACTGCCATTAACCTTCACGGAGAATTTTTTTTCTTCTACATAAATTTTGTGTTGCTGCCTACAATAAAAGATCTCTTATTATTAAAATGCATATTCAGGAAGACACTTCTATTACATTTAATAGTGTGCTATACCTTTCAAAAGTAAAAATTTTACTGTCAAATAATGACAGCAACTACACTCACAACCCTCCTATTTAAGGGAAATACGCGTAAGATCTGGCTGTGGCTCCAGAACATGTGGCTCCCAGAACATGAGCAGGATTGCTTTTCCTATCACAGTCTTTTAAAGAGGTATCCATACAAACACTGAAGAGGAGAAAGAGGACGTTAGCCTACAGTTTTTCCATTTTAAAACTACACTGCCTAAATAATGAACTTAGCTTTGATGTAATTGTATAGAATGTGTGACCCCACGAAGTTCAACCACGCCAAGTGCAAGATGCTGCACCTGAGTCAGGGCAATCCCAAGCACAAACACAGTCTGGGCGGAGACTGGGTTGAGAGCAGCCCCGAGGAGAAGGACTTGGGGGTGTTGCGTGAGGAGAAGCTTCAGCCCAGAACCCCCCTGTGTGCTGGGCTGCACCCCAGAGCGTGAGCAGCAGGTCAAGGGAGGGGACTCTCCCTCTCTGCTGTGCTCTGAGGAGACCCCCCCCTGCAGTTCTGATCCAGCTCTTGGGCAATAGCACAAGACAGACGTGAAGCTGTTGGAGCGAGTCCAGAGGAAGCCATGGAGATGCTGAGAGGGCTGGAGCAAGCATTCATGGGACAAATCACTGCATCAGGAGTTAAGAACATTTTCAGAATGCACTAGTTAAAGAAGTCCTCAAGAAGGCACAATGCCATAAGTTTGCCTGTGAAGGATGTCAGTTTTTTAACTTCCCTTCCAATTAGATTAACATGCTGCTCTAATTCTCTGTCATACTTGGAGATCATGACATAGACGACTGTGACCCTGACCATACAAACTTACTAACTCATACCAATGCCCGAGAGTCAACTCTAAATTAGCATTTGAATTTGATCAACCGTGTGCTGTTGAAGTGCCTCTCCTGATCATTACCATGCAGTGAGCTTTAGTTCACAACATGGAAGTTTGAGAAATACCTAATATGCTCCAACTGCCAACAGTCATTCAGCAAATGGGACTTGACTAAAGCTAGTCCCAAGCTTAAGAACACAGTGCAGATGCTGGGCCTCCATCAACCTCTTCACTCTGTAGCTCTGCTCCTCTTGGCTGCATTACTTGCTAGCACAGCAAGAAAAAGAGATGTGATTTTGCCACTGGGAAACAACAGCAACCTCCATACAAAACAGCGTTAGCTGGTTTTAAACTACTACGTTACGGAGTTCTAGAGGTATTTCACCACATTAAGGCCAGTGTGTGTGACTTTTATATAAATAATATAGCCCACTTCAGAAATTCAACAATTTTTTCTGAACCTGTAAGATGGTTCTGCGCTTTCCTGAAAATCAGTTTCATATCAATTAACAAAGAGGTTCTATTTATCAATTTCTTTAGTCAAAACACCATTTCAAGTAACGTAAATGGGATCCAATTCCTTCCTCACAAAAAGTAAATGGAAACCCAATGCTGCAGACATTACATTTTCTTTCAAGCCATGAATAAAGGCTCCAATAACCAGACTAGCAACTTTTAAATAAACTTGCAGTGCAATCAATATATTTATTCAAAAAAAGGTTTCCGTTGAAACCTGCACAAAACCACATTAATGATAAATGTGGGTGTTATTTGCACTTGAAAAGTCACACTGTTTTTTGTCTAAATGGAGCATTAGAAGCAATGCACTCGATACTAGCAGACTGCTATCCTTCACATCTTGAATGCTGTATTAAAATTAAGTTAACAGAGAACATGGAAAGAGCCATTGCCACTTCACTTCATTGTAATTGAATGTGGAGCCAGGGAATCTCAAATTCTATCAGCCACTGTTTAACAGGCCAGTTCTTCATAACCACTTGAAAACAAATTTATCAACAAAACTGTGACAAGTAATCTCACTTCGACTATCGGTCACAGGCAGGTGACAACAGAACCTACTTTCATTAGGCTCAGTATACTGGACTGGTGATGCCAGATATGTAATTGAAGCATGACAAAACTGAGAAGACAGGCACTAATTTATGTACTGTTTCCTACTGCTGCCAGAAAAGGGTCAAGAACTTGTTGAAAAGCTACTTCGTAACAACAAATCCCTCAAACTGCAGTTAGTTATAGCTTTAACATCTGCTATTGCACATTCAATGACTTTATTTCCACAAGAGCAGCCAATTCACAGTTATTTTCTTCCATACAATTTTAATATGCTTCAGAAGCATCTCTTAAAAGAAAGATGCATGCTTGAAGTCTGAATCTTCTTTCCTGCACCTTGCACATCTGTAAAACCATAATGACAACAAAAAAAAGTTGCATGTGTAAATCAGGAATAATTCATCTATAATGGTAGGTTTCTGGAGGCAAGAGAGAGAAATCATTTTTAGGATTGTCCCATTCAACTACAAAAGAACCAGTATGACATAAAGCCACTCACTAGCCATGCTTATCAGTCTGCACCTGTGAGAAGTACAGCACCTTCTAACATAAAAAGCTAGTGGTCAGTAAAGTGGTTCAATATTTTGACCATATTCCATTATCCTCTCCAGTCACATATTTCCTTGATTTCCACAGAAGTAAACAACTTTATTTTGTTTCATGGAGGAATCTGACGCATTGTAGGTTTCATCGTGATTTCTAACACAAGGGAGCTTTGTAACAGTAATGTCCTCTACAATACCTGGTTCTGGGGTAAGTGTATAGAAGCACTATGAAACTATTCTAAAAACAAAGAGACCTGGAAAGGCGGGGAAAGGTCTCACTGTCAGCTACGGTCCACATAAAGCAAGAAAAGCTAAAGAGTTAACCTAGACATCTCCCTAAGTCACATTTTCACCAAAATAAGCAGAATCCAGAAAAAAACCAAAACAAATCACCCAACCAAAAATCCCACATCAAACTAAAAAATAAAGAAGCAAACCCAAACACCACCACCACCACCACCCCCCCAAAGAAAAACCAAAACAAAACACCAGTGAACAACCTCTTCCCTCACCAAAAAAAAAAAAAAAACCCCACCAAATAAAAAAAAAAAACCTTACATGATACTCCCTCCCCTCAAAACACACCAGATAAATCTGCCTCACATTGTGGGAGGAGACACCAAGTACCACATGGAACTACCATTTCCTCCAAAAGCATTACAAATGCAGCAACCACTACAGGGGATATGTGGATAGAGCGTGGACGTCCACTTGCGTTATTTTTATACCATGTCTGCAAGATACAGCTCTTACAAGGGTCTGGAAAATATCTTAAACAGCCGCTCATTTTTGTTATGACTACAGCAATTTGAAAAACAACCTCAACAGTTCCTTTTATCGTGTCATCTCTGTTAAAGTACGTTCTAAGATTACTGTTGGTCAGTAACACATTAATTCAAAAAGCGAGATTAACAGCATTTAAACAGTTCTTTTTTCAAACATTCACAAGCTTTAACTTGCAGCAGATCAAGCAGCTGAGGCGGATTCTGCTCTGTGCCTTCTCAGAATTTCTTTATAGAATCCTGCTTTTTGCATTTTATTACTGTATTTTCAGTACCTTCACCAAGAATCTTCAGTTAAATCAGAGTTCTTTTGTCCAGATCAACTGGTAATGTTGTCACATACATAGAAATACTTGCAATCCATTTTCTGTTTTATTAATATTATGTGTACTGAGATTTTTTAACATTCTCAAAATGGATGCTGCTTACAGTTTGTGCCACTCACCTCAACAGGTCTCCAGTCTCTTTTTCTGCCTCATCTTTATCTTATAAAGTTGCACTTTTTGAATTCTTATGAATCTAAACATGCTGGATTTTTAGAGGTATTTACTGACATTTTTATCCTTTTTTTAAACCAGATTACAGATTTACTGCTTTTTCTATTTCAGTGGGTTTTTCCACAATACACAGGTCCATAAAAGTACCAGTAATGCCTTCCAATGCCACACTGATGTCTGCTAAGCTCAGTGTTAATCCTTCTTTCCATTAAAGCTGAACTCATAAGAAACACTGAAGGCATTGCTTTGGAGATTTGCTATCAGGAAAAGGCAAGACATTCCAATCCAGTCTTTTACTTAATTGGCTTCCTAACCATTTTCAGCATGAAAGGCTAAACTTTTAAATCTGTTCATTTTAGAGAAAACGTTCATGAGCAGAGCTCCTGTGCAAAGTTTTAATAACTTATCTTTTATAAAGTTACCAATCAATACAGGTACATTTCTTCCTGATGTAAGACATAATTTTACATACAGCTACTCCGAAAGTACTGCTGGGTGACTGAAGGAGCCATAAATCAAAAAGTTTTTAATCACTCACACTTACTAAATTCTGTAATCTTGATCTGTATTACACAAATGATTGACTTCTGCAATCTTGTTGCATCTATACTATTTGATTTGTGTGTACACAAACAGTTGCCACTGACAGCTGTCTGCCGCTATCCTGCAGCAGAATATTTCACCTCAGTAGAAAAACCCATCCATTTTAGGTGCATATGCTGCTTTTTAAAGACAACCATAAAGCCTGCAAGGCACATACCTTTTCGTAGTAAACTATTCCATATTCTTTATCATCACACTTGACGCAACGGAATTCAATCATCAGGTACATAAAATTAGAACTTCGTTTCTCCCTCTGAGAAGAGAACCAACACAGATGTGTATCATGCATTAAAGTGCATCAATCTTCAGCGTTCTCAGCACAGCAATTACCCTACTTCCTTTGTGCTATAACTGATTAATTAGATTATCAGTTGTTGTGCTATGAAATGATTAACTGAATAATTGCTACTACTTCAGACCACATCACCTTCTTCCTGACATTCTTACTTCCTCACATTCCCACTTCATGATAAATATCCGTATGCAACACATAAAATCACATTGTTTTCATCAGCAACTGTAGTCTAAAGGTCTGAAAAAGGCAATGAAGAATAACCAAGTGACGGGGGGGTTGTGTGTGATTTAAAGAAAAAAAATACAAACAAACCCACTACAGACAATTATGTATACAAGGGTCAAAATCCAGAAGACAGAATATCAGAACGTTTTTAGATAATACCATGAAAGAGACACATTAAACTTGGACTAGAAGATTACATTTGCAACTCATTCACTTTCAGAGGAAGATTTACTCATGTGTGCGTTTTTTAAACCCTTTGCTTTGAAAAAGTGCTCAGAATTTTAAAATCTAGGTGCAAAACAAGAAAGAAGCTATACCTAACTACTGTCAGGAACATACGATTAATAATGAAATCAAGCATCTTCTTTAATATTGAGCAAATTAAGTTTGGTTTATGCATTAATAATGGACTGACTTTCCAGCACAGATGAAGTAGTTCTGCATTTCAGGTACAGCACTAGAATCAGTAACTTCTAGTTTTCTGTAATATTACAGAAAAGGAATTAAAAAGAAAAAAAAAGGATAGGCTGAGTTCTGAGGGTTTATAAAAAAAACAAATTTGAGTTCAAAAATAATTTGATTCCCAAAGGTCTAATTATAAATGAGGCAACTAAAATCTCAAGAGTGCAAAGCAGAAAACAGAGTTCTATTGTAAAAGATGAGTATAATTAGTTAAATGTTTGCGGGTGACTTTGCCTAATGAGAGTTAACACCTCATTCAGATCTTGAATGAATATTTGGAAAAAAAAAAAAACAAAACAAAAAAAAAATCAAAACCAACCAAACTCTGGCTCTGAGCAACCTGATCCAGTTGAAGATGTCCCTGCTCAGTGCTGGGGCTTGGACTAGCTGATCTTTGCAGGTGCCTTCCAACACAAACCATTCTGTGATTCTACAATTCTCATAACTGCCCAAGTAAAATTAAGTTTGGAAGGTTAAAGAATTATTTTCCTTTGTCACATACAGTGACAGCTGAAGAAAAATAGGAAAAGTACTTCAAGTTCAGTCTTCTAACCAAAGGTTCCATATCAGCAAGATCAAAAACATCTCCTCTACCTACCTCATTGATCATTTCTATTTCTCTAAAAGTCAGTCTGTCCAACCAGTCCACTTTCACCATGTGACCTTGCCGATGAGACTTGGTGAGCTGCATGAAAAACACAAGTAAACGGCTCAGAGCAAGCAAAAAAAGAGTATCAAAATCATAATTTAACAGGGATGCTAAAATCAAATCAGGGTGAAAAATAACGTGGAAAAAATAGAGGAACTGGAAAAAATGCTTGTACAGGACGCATACAGTAGATCTTTGTAAACAACTAAGACATGCCATAAAAATAATTAATACTATTCAAAACATCAATCACAGCAAAGACCAAACCACATTCCAAGCACACCACCTTTGCATTCTGAACACACTAAACCAGGAACCTGGTTTTTAAGCAAAGTAACATATTTCATTTTTCATGTTACTACATTTGATATAGTAAAACTCACAAAGCCAAACAAAAAAAAAAAACAACCTATTTTAAAAAATAGCCAATTGTGTCATTCTGCCCTTTTTAGCCTTACCTAAACAAGTTTTCAGACTGGGAGTTACACATCACAAAAGGTCAGGCAAAGACTTAAAGCAAGTCATAGAGAGCCTGTTCCCTGTTTCATTTTAGTCATCTGAAAAGTACTTCAAGATTACTCCTACATCTACACGTTGCTGTAGTAATAGCAAGGAAGTCGCATTGTTTAAAGGACTACCTAACAGAAGAAGGGTTAAGAGGAAGAGAGAGAACAGAAAAAGGAAGTGAAGATAGCAGCCATGCTGCCTGTTGTTTCAGGTGCACCGACACACAATAGTTTTTCGTAAGCTCAGCAGAAGTCCACACAAATACAAACAAGAATAATCTTTTCAGTTCCTAGGAAATCACAGGTGTTCCTTCAAGAATCAGTAATTCTTGCACTATGCAAGAAGAGATGCAAAGGGACTAGAAGACATTTTTTTCTAGAAAAAACTAGAACATGTTTTTTCATGTTTCAAAGAAATCGATACCTGTCTAGAAAACGTCCAGTGAAAAGTCCCTCAAACCTACTCCTATTAAGGGAAGAGTTACAACTAAGCTTCGTCAGTGGTCAACCTGCCCATCCATAAGCATTTAAATTTGAACAGTCACATGGACCGCCCAGCAAGGGGACAGGCAATATACAAACAGACCCAGGAAAGCACATGAATAGAAGGTATTGTATGCAGGAGAGCACAGCAGCAGCCTACCTCTTCCATTCAGACCTGCAGATGAGGTTACTACAAATATAAACGGAAGATTTAAGACCTGCCATATGCTGGGAGTTGTCTAGGTTGCACTGTTTGTCAGAAACCTGCACTACACTATTAGCAGCTCACCGCAACTGATGAAAAAACCCCACTGTGAAAAAAGAAAAAAGGTTAGGAGTTTGCACCAATTATTATCAATGAAATTCCCAGTAAACTGAAGTCTCAGCAGTATGGGCACAAGTATTAATGACACCAAGGATGACACAAGCCAAAGACAAGTCCCATCATGATGTACTCTACAAAGAGCATCAACTTCATGTCCAGGTACTGATCCTGACAAAGTCACAAGCCAAGCTTCAGAAACACTGCCGAATCAAATAGCTTTTTACATCCCTTTGAAGCAATGCTGACACAACAGACAAAAAAATGTCTAGTCTTTAAAAGACTGTAAACAGCAACTAAAGCCATTAATAAAATTAAATTTCAGTGTTCTGCAGTCTCTCTGCAGGTGTTCTTATATCAGTGGAACTGATTTGTCAATGACCAGCTGGTAGGCATTTATCCTTGTCTTTTAACACCTTGATCAATTGCCCCTTCATATCCAACTGCAGGCCATCTTGCTGCTTCACTTTCCACAGGGACTTCTTGGCATTTAAGACAATTCACTGTGATGTTTGTGGGGTTTTCTCTTTTATTCACCTCCCCAGAGTTTAATTTGGGTTTATGGTCTAACACCATTTTAGATACTGGTTCCTACCTCCACGCAGGAAACAAAACTCCCAATTAGTTTTCTTGGAACCAGTTTATGTCAGAAGGAGGTGGAATAAACTACAGCCCACACCATGGCCTCTCTACCCCCTCAAAATCTGAATGAAATTTTAAGGCTGATTACTTACGAAAACAAGCATGGCAATGAATGCCAATACTTGCTCATTTCACAAATATGTTTTCTAATTAATCTTTCGTGATTCTTAGCTCCTACCAGAGATGAGGTTTAAAATTTTCCACTGAATATTAATCCTCAACTATAGTTACGGGCACTACTAAAGTAAAGTACTAATCAAAAGCAGTCACAATTTATAAGCCAGTCAAAGCTGCTGGAAAGGAAAACCAAGCCAAAGTCAGCTGGGAGGCAAATCCTGTTTTTTTGTTTTTGAACTAAAGACTTGCTAGGAACCAGCCATTTCAAGAAGCACTAAACAGTAATTTAGGCATGAGCACGTGATACCCTTTGTTCTGACCTCGTTCCATAAAACACAAAAACATAATCCCATGAGAATTATGAGAATGTTTGCTTGAAGCAGCTGATTCACATAGCACTTCTTTAAGCTGTAGATCACAGTATAGCTTTACAGAAGTAATAAGATTTTGATGCAAACTCTGGAAGACCACTGAAGCTTCTAAGAATTAATAAACTGTTCAGTATACAGTAGGAGTTTTTCTCATTTCTTTTGTCTCCAGTAAACTCAGGGACAGCTAATCTGAGCTGCAATAAACTCCATAAACTAAACAGTACAAAAGGAAAAGGAAGGGCAAAGGTAACAAAGTATAATCCTTAATAACATTTCAGGATGCTGGATGTAACCAAAGCACAGAAACTCAGTCTCTGGGTTCTTTCAACTTATCAGCAGCCTTGTAAACAGGAACATAATACGGTACCACTTTTTTTTTTGCTCTTATATTATATTCTGCAGCCAGTTCAACAAGTTCTACCAGCAATATTTCAGACAGAATGTGCCAGGACTGTACTAAAAGCATAAGGCAAGACTTGGCCTTTGCCTCATATGTGGCTAAAACGCATTTTGGCAGTAGAGAAACAGCAGCATGCAGACCAGTTGTACTTAATGCCTTCACAAACATCCTACCTACTTCACAGAAAAGGTCTTCTCAGCAATGAAGGAATTACCTTTTGTCATTTTAGCCACTTCTAAATTACTCCCTACTCTTTTCAGTTAATAAAGATACTTTTTCCTACTGAAGGTAGCCCTCTTATTTCCACCACCTTAAACCAATGGATTAAAACATATTCACATCCAGCATGGATACACAAATTTATGATAGCACTTATGAAAGCCTTGGGAAAAATGGCCACAACTCAGTTCATTTTCTTGTTTGCTGCACTAGAGAATAAAGATAAAAGTAATTTTTGTATGGTTTAGAGGAAAATATTAACCTCTTAAACCTGCAAACCTCCCTTACAGAGAGGAAAAATATCATACTACTGCAACTTGCAAGGCCTGCATATGAGACTCAGAAGATCTGAGTGCATACGTGTGTGTAAACATACGCATAAAGAACCATTCTCTTTGATTAATATTTAAGTTTAAAATAAGAAAGTTGTTAGTCCACTCCCTTCAGGGAAAGAAGCATTCATCATCTGCTATTAAATAACAGGCCTCCCTTTAGATACTGTTTCACCATTGTTATTACCTAATTTCATCCAGCCAGCAGAAGGTATAAGAGAAGTGAATGGATCAAAAAGAACTTAAGAATATTTTTGAAGCAGAATAAATTAACACACCACTCATGGGAGAAACATCTTAATGTTATTAATATTTGAGCATGCTAAGGTATTCCTCAATCTTTCCATTAATATTCCCTAGTACAGGAAAAATCTCTGTTCACGATGGCCACCAGTATACCAAGCCACGGCTTTCTCAGCAGCAGCAATTTCACAAGCAATCATGTCACATGTTTTGTAAGAGCAGGACCATATGGCACCTCAACATGAAATGCGACTTGCCATAGTATCAATTATTTAGGTAAAAGGATGAAACTCCTCCAGCAGCCTGTCACTGATTCTATACAAATTCCCTATAATAATAAATACCACACACACAAAAATTCAGAAGTATGCCAAGAGAATAAAAAGTGATCTTTTAGATAGAGAAAAGGTCCCTCAGCAAGCTCTTGTTAGAAGTTACTTATTATAAGGAAGAATCTAGTCTGGCCTCTGGTATTAGACATCAATCAACTGCATGACACTTCTAAATGATGCCTGTCCAATAAACAGGAAAAAAAACCAAACAAAAAAACCCCAATAACAACAAAGCCCACTCAAACTCACCTTGTTTTAATTAGCCCTACTCCTCTTACCTATATTTAAATATATTATCACATACAGTAGCATCAGGAGGCATTCAGTAACTGATAAGCAAGTCCTAGAAAAACTGAACCTGACTATGCTTAAACAAAGGCTATTTAAGAATGGTACATCCCAAGAACCTCATCTGCTGAGTAAACAGCTGTGCAAATGAAAGCTCTCACAGACACACTGCCCAGAAACCCTATCCACTTTGCTACCATCTGATGGCAAAATGTTTTTATACAGAAATACAGCAAAATACCACTGAAAATAGCCTCGTCTTTCAGAAATTAGAATCTCCCAAAAACACCTTTCAGAGGAGACCAATGGGAGCAGTGATGTTATGAGCCATTAACTAGAATTCTCATTTGGGATGTGAAAGAATTCCCTCCTTTTCCTCAGAGGCTTTCAGCCTTCCCCTCCCATATGCCAAAAGAAGAGGCTAGAACAGATCCACAAGTAAGACTGAAATACTCTGCATTATTTGTATTACTTGAGCTAGGGAGCATAAGGGAATGAATAGAAGAGGAGAATATCAACACTGGTAGGATATGGTCATGTTTGCATAACAGAACTAACATGAAATGAAAGGCCTACACTCTAAAACTCCTTCTTGGAAACCCGCTGTATACATCATGTAACCATGTGATGACCTATAAAGAAGCCTTGGTATTTAGTGTCTGTCTACAGCGCTTCCTTAGCCTAGAGGGGATTTATTCTACTGCAATCAAGAAATGGGGCATCACAAGTAGCAGAAAGCTTTAAATGAGTTCTCCATTATAAATTCAAGGTGAACTATACCCTAAATGAAAGGTAGTTTATTTTCTGTGGTAAACCTCTACATGAGAAAATGGACGTATTTAAGCCACTGGACTTATCTTTCACTAGGAGTTGCACAAAGATGGAAACTGGGAGCCCAAGATTAGGCAGAAAGTACATAAAGTGGGTTGAGTGATCCGGCAAGCGTGGAGTAAGCTCACCTGAAGAATGAGAGAAATCAGCTAGTAAAAAGGTTCAAGAACCTACATCCACTGATAAACTGCAGAAGTAGTTTTGATGGCAAAAATACATTCTTGCTATCAAGAATGGAAGAAGAAAATCCTAATACAGACACATATTCATGAACTTAAATGCATTAAGCTTTGGTTAATTTTTGTAGTTTTACCCATATTCTTTCTAATGCAGAGGCATCTTTCTAATGTCACATGCACCTGAACACTACACCAGAGAGCCTTAAATCTAAATAAGGGCTACTGAAAGAAACCAGTCCCCACAAGTTACTGTTACGCACTGCTCTTACTGAACATGATGGAATTTTGGCTTCCAGCATCTTCAAGGCATGATCACAGTTTCATTCTTTATAAAGAACTAGGATGTTAAGTTGTCACAACAGAATGCTATGTATATTAAAAGGCATTTATATGTCCCCTTTAAAAAAATACTACAGAAGCCAATGAGTATGACCTAGCTTACTCACTTTTATAAATCCTGTGAAGTATCTAATCAAAGGGAGACAGCTTTCACATGAGAAAACAATGTGAGAAGCCTGTATTCATTCCACGCCAGTGAAAGTGCAAGCTTTTCACACACACCTTACAGGTTACTTGCTATACTATTACCTTAGCCAAGCGGCTCATCTGATCTTCGGAGACTGTGCTGCTGGTTCTCCCAGGAGTTTTGGTGGGCTCTGAGCCATCAGCTTCTACATTGGGCCAGACTTTCAAATCATGCATTCCCTGACGAAACATACTGCAGGGGGAAAAAAGCAGAATCACTTCAGTACATGCAAAATAACACACCTGTCAGGAATCAAAGCACAGTAGCAGCCGCAAGAAAATGAAGTAACTTCCTCTGCCAAGCCTAGAAACACTCACTGCCATGCATAATTTAAATGAACTGCTAAAGTGCCTTGCTCCTTGTGCCCTCTATGGCCTTCAGTTTTATTGGCACAGAGTTTAAAAGAAAATCAGTAAGTCTGAACAAAGTTATTTGGCAAGTGGAAGAAAAATGGGTAATTCCAGAAGTCAGTGGAGTGGTATAAATGCAAACTGAGGACAGAGCCTGACCTTCATAGTTTTATTATTTGTAATGAAGCCGAAAGTATTCCTCTTGACTTGCAAATTATAATGCTGACTTTTGGTCTGCCAGTCTGAAAAAAAAATTCAACTAAAAAGCTACCTAAGTTTCACTTGAAGGTTGACTGCTATGAAAGAGACTTCTGAGCTGCCAAATAAAAACAAAACTAAAAAAATTTAAAAAAACCCCTGAAATCCTCAAAATCCCATTTTCTCAGTCTGTGCTTGAAATTGAACTGGTAATTGAAACATTGCAGTGAACAGAACTTTGCAGGGTAGATGACCACATCTTTTCTTTGCAAAGCCCTCCTTTCCTTATGTATTTGTGCTGATCCACCTATAAAAGATGCTTCAAGAAATCAAGTGGATCACTTAACTCGAACAACTTCAGGTAAATACAACTGGAAGGAACACTTTAAAAAGTTAACCGTTAAAAATTAGAAATATCAAGCAGACAGACCTTGAATTTACACATTGCTTTGTGGAATACTACTACAAAGGTTTCCATTCATAACCAAATATAAAATTCTGAAATTATTTCATTGCTTCTTGTCCATCTACTTCCCCCAGGCCCCACATGCTGGAAATAAATGTAAATTTCATTTATAAATTTTACCTTTTTCCAGGAATGCTCTAATGTTTAAATAACTACCAGCAGTCTTTGGGGGACAGTACAATCTATCCAGTTCTATTTTCTGCCCAAAGACAATGTCAATTTTTTGTTAAAGCACAGAGACACAACCTCTCTCTACAGTCACTTTCGGCATTCAAATATCACTAGAACAACTTTCCTAACACTAACCTAAACTTTTCCTACACTTCAGTTTATCCTTACCACTTCCTACCTACTGACAAGGCCAAAAAGAGACTATTTTTCCCCATTTTTCACTACCTGCATACCAGAAAAGTGTTCCTATAGTCTTTTCTTCAGCTTCACTAGTCTTTACTCCTCCTTCATAACACGTATTTGCTAGACATTCAATGATAGAATCCCAGCAGTCACTAGCTTGCTTAAAGTCAGTTATATAGACCTGAACATATGCCAGATGAGCACACAAGTATGGAGGAGTATGAAACATTGTCCCTGAATGTGCACGCTTGTGAAGTGTTCATATATTCAATGTTGTCTGCACATTTCACAAGAGCATCGTAACGATGAACTACGCAAAACTTAAGATTCACTCTAAACCACAAATCTTCTCTTCTATTTGGGCAGCTGCTCCCTATTCTGTGTTTGATGCAAAAAGTACCAGCACCTCATACTTTTCCTTGAACTGCATCCTGTATTTTCTTCAGTCCCCTCTGCACTTGGTTAAGATCCTTCTGAGGTATTGTTCACCTTCCAGCACACCTGTAATCCTTCTTCTCATCTTACTGTTATCATCCACAAATTTACCAAACCCACTCCTAAAGGATAACAGATTGTTAATTTTGAAAACTCCAGATTTACTGACTTACATTTTTATAAATAAAAAATTATAAATAAATTCATAAATAGATTCCTGTCTGCATTAACAGCCCACCTGCAGGCCAATTATGCTAAGTAATCAGTACTGGCACCCCTGGATTACAAAAGTGTAAATAGGAAGTGACTTCAGCATTTGCTTCCTTAAAATTCAAGCTTACACATCTTCAAAAAAAAAAAAAAGCCTAAGTGTTGGTGTTATGCAAGAGAAAACTATTTTTACAACACTGTTTCATGTATGAAGTTACACTCATGAAGAAATAATCATTTACGTGTCTGTTTTTTTTCAAACCAGGAATTGTTAACCTGGCTTTAAAAAAAAACAACAAACCCTCTCGCAACCACTGCTACCTCTCTACAAGTGAGCTTCAAACCTACACCACAGAAGGAAAAGCAGTATACCCATATTTCCCAAAGAGCGAGACCGTTGTTCCTCCCACAGGAACTGCTTTACCAGGTCCATACACGTCCCAGATGGTCAGAGCCACCTGTGCATTGCGAGGCAAGTCCGGGTACTTCACCGGCAGTTTCAGCCATTCGTTCCAGCTGCAGAGAAACAATTCTTTATTAATCATAAAGCTTCAGAATTCAAGTTAATCTATTAGTTTATTCAACCCAGATTCTCCTTAGAATATGAATTCTTAAGGGCAGAGCATATTTAAAAGGCTAGAGCCTGAAAAAAAAGTATTCTGGCTTGATGACTAAATACCAAAGATCAGTCTGTCCAGTAAACACTATGAAAACATGCTAGTCCAGGCCCCAGAAGTTATTCAAGAAGCAAGCCATGCCCAAACACACAAGTTACAGTTTTATCACTTACCCATTACACAGAAAGGTTATTTTGTGCTGTCATGGTAACACTGAATAACCATACAGAGACTTGAAGAAACTTAAGCTGTTTCAAGAACACAACAGAAAACTAATCTTTCTGACAGAAATAAAACCCATAAGTGTCTATTTATACAACTTGATGCCGCAGTAACTGAGAGGAATATGAAATGAAAGGCAACCACTTACTTCCACCTAGTGCTAAAAGCCTTGTAGGAAGTTCTAACTGGAAGAGCAAGAGGCTTCCCTTCTGCAAACACCTGACAAGTTACGTACAAGTCAGAGCAAGTTTCTTGATACAGTCCTGAGAACTTCAGCATTGGATCTTCTAAGAGAGCTTTGTAACTCTTCTGTTCTCTTTTCCCTTCCAGACTTCCTCTGGGGGGGAGGTAGGCAGGAAAAAAGAGAGAAAGAAACAATATTTTACTTTATATACAGAAAACAGCCTATTCTATTTCCTCAGCTTAAGTTTAGAATACTCAGTACTGATCATTACTAGCCCATAGCAAAATCCTAATGTCAGAAAGGAACTCAGGATGTGAAATGATGAACAAATACAGGATTTATTGCTATACTGACTTAGCAGGGGAGGAAGAGCAGGGAAGGGAAGAATTACTTGTCTGTCTTTTCAATGGACATAACACCCAGTACAACCTGTAGATTCTCAGACAGCATCAAAGGACCTTAAGCAAGGCAACAACAAGCATTAGTTTACGTATGTTCCAAATACTACTGGGGGAAAAAAACCCACAAACATAGCCAAAAACACCCCCAAAAAAGCCCTCATGATTAAGAAAAGCCTCTTATGAAAGGTGAATGTATGGCTTTGGGTGCCAGTCATCTCTCAAGTCAACAGCAAACCAAAGCTCAGCAGACTGTCCAAATCAAACTTGATTAAAGCCCTGCAACAACATGCAGAATGAGTACAATGATGGCATTTATCAGGCCTCAGCTATACCATGATGAGAAAAATCACGAATATGAAATATCTGACTGTGGATGCACACGTGAAAATAAAAAAACAAACGTGGTGGTGATGGGAAAACATGTAATAACATCAATTACAATACCAATTATTATCAAGAGATAACATCAATCTCCCAGCACACAAAAGCCTATCAGTACCACAAAAACTTCAGAGTGGATGAACAAGCTTCTTGAAAGAGGCTAGTAGAGCACATTCCCAGATGACATCCACTCTGATGCACAAAATACTAGCTATCACTTTGCTTGGTTGAATGAATGACCAAAGAGGACACATGCATCTGAATTCAGCTGTCATCTTCCACGTGGAACTTAAACAAGCCCTGAGTAAGTTTCACCAAGTTAGCTTTCAGAAGTGCAATATACCTCAGTGTAACTACATCGGGTATAGTACACAGTCACCTATGTCCCTCCTACACAAATGTAAACGTCCAATTGCTGCCGTGCAGACAAATCCCTAACTTCAAAGCTGGAAGGAGAGGGCATTGAGCAATCTGGTCTAGTGGAAGGTCTCGGAACTGGATAAGCTTTAAAAAGGTCCCTTCCAACCCAAACCAGTCAGTGATTCCATGAAACACAGCATGTGATCGTGGCTTCAACAGCAGTGCTTGCACGTACCTGGTGAGAAACACGCAAGCTGCTGCCCACAAAGGCAAAAACAAGAGCAACCTGCTTTCCAAGCAGCACGCAAACAAGCAGGAAACTGTCACCAGTGCACCCCTTTGCCCTAACGCTGACGGGTGAGGCAA